GGGTAGGGAGAAATCCATGTTGGGTCTTGCCGGCACCAACACGGTGACGCATGTGGGCGCCGCCATCCTTCTTGAAGGGCGGCGGGTGTGGTGGAGCCGAAGGTTGGTCCTGGGTGGCGGGCGCGAGGGGTAGGGAGAAATCCATGTTGGGTCTTGCCGGCACCAACGCGGTGACGCCTGTGGGCGCCGCCATCCTTCTTGAAGGGCGTCGGGTGACCCTCTCCCCCCTCTACCCTCCATGTACCGGGAGAAATCCTAGGATTCGTCCGGGCAGCAGCGTCGTCATCATCGCATTCCTTCTTGAAGGTGGTGCTTGGTACACGGCAACTCGGTGGCTTTGAAGCGTGGTGGTTATCTTCGGTGGGCGCAGCGGTCGCGGGGTGCCGTAGCTTTCGTTCATCCGGCGTTGTTGCCATTTTTTCTCTTGTATTTTCTTTTGGGCGTGCTTGTGCTGTTAGCCCCAGCGTTAATCGAAATGTTATATCGGGTGGTTGCTATATCTATATAGCAGGCGAAAGCCTATTTCGAGAGTGTTTACTTCAGGAACCTATAACAGGGGCATTGAGCTTCCTTCAAAATTACTAACTTCAGAAATATCTAAGTACTTCCCAATTAATCAGGGATTCAGGATAAAAATGTCTCGTCTCCTTGGGAGAGAGCTGGCGATGCGTTAACTGTTTACTTCTCCTTGGCGAGCATCCAGTTCCAGGACAGGTTGTGGACTTGTGGTGATTTTTTTTGAAACGGAGGCAAAAACTTTGCCTCATCTTATTAATAAAGAAGAAGAGAGTTGCCCGGTTAATAAACAGAAAACCGGGTGAAAATCGTCACAAACCGCTGAGTGTACACTCATAATCACACACGCACATCACATAGAGGGTCTCGTCATCATCACACGCCGGTGTCATCGTCATCACTTCTCCCCAACAGGCGTCATTGCCCTCCCTAATCTTCGAGCAAGCGACTCCGACTTCTTCGAAGACAAATGTTGAGCCAACCCACATCGTAGAGGCTATGTGAAACAAAAGAAGCCCCGCGCCAAGGACAACACAGCTCCGACTCTAAAAGATAGCTCCGAAGGAGAACTATGCAAGGTTGGCGCCGCGGAAGACCACCGAACAGATCACCTGTTCCCTGTCATCGTCGCCACAATATGTGGAAGATTAAAGTTCCGCTTAAAATCAAAATCTTCATGTGGTTTGTTCACAAGGGAGTGATCTTGACGAAAGATAATTTGGTTAAGCGAAGCTGGGTAGGTAGTTCTAGATGTTGTTTCTGCGACCAGAATGAAACTATACAACAACTCTTTCTCGATTTCCCGTTGGCAAAGCTACTATGGCGCACGATACATCCTCCAATTTTCATTAACACGTTATTTGAGACGTGGCTAAACGGAGTTGATTCAACCATAGCGAGACATATATGAATTGGGACATGCACATTACTTTGGGCTATATGAAACACTAGGGACAACATTATCTTCAACCGGAAAAACTTTATGTACTTTTTGCAGGTTATCTACTGGGCCACTGCTTAGACCTGTATGTGATCATTACTCACTCTCCAGGATTCTTTCTTAAATTAATTACTCGTAGGTTGTACAAGACTTTATCTGGTAAGTTGGCCAATAGCTCATTTAGCTAGATCTGTTCAAACACGCTCTCCTACATTGCTCACGCCAAGCAAGCTGCTCTCTTGATCCGGAAGACGTGGCTCATTAGTTCAGTAAGCTGTGATAGTTAATGCTTATGAATCCATTCCGACAGATGCTGCACTAATCGCGCAACCTATCTAATCACTACTAATTAATTTATATTTATCCTCCTAACAGAACAATTTTGTACAATAGGCCGTTTTCTTGACCTGATCTGAAACACGCAGCTTAACTTCTTACAGCATTCATGAACTAACTATACCTAGCTTTTTTTTTGACAATCAATACCATGATATATTTATATTAGCGAATAGTACATGGTAGAGATACATGAGCTGAGCACAACGATTATAATACAAATTGAAGTCTAAAAGAAACGAGCAAATCTTCGAGATATTCAAATTCTTTCTTGCTTATGTATATCAAGTAATCTCAGTACATATACGATTATGTACAAATTCTTTCTTGCTGGTTGGTTTACAATTGGTAGTGTCGCCGATCCTGAAGAAACTCATCGCGGATGCCTCAACTTACCTTGGGGTTGACATGGCGAGTGAGCTCCATGAACTGGAGACCACCATCATGCCGCAGTTTGAGCTCATGATTGAAGCAGCTAACAAGGGCAACCACAAGATCAAGTTGGAAAAATGGGTCCAAGAGCTCAAAGAAGCCTTCTGCAAAGCCGAAGACCTGCTCGACAAGCATGAGTACAACCTCCTCAAGCGCCAAGCAAAGAGCGGGAAGGGTGCCTCCACCAGCACTTGTATGCATCCTGCGTTTAACTGGCTGTCCAATCTGGGCACCAAGAACAGGAAGTTACTTCACCAGCTCAAGGAACTGAAGGCCATTCTTGCAAAAGGCAAAGAGCTCCGTGAACTTCTTTGCTTACCAGCTGGTAGTAATAGTGCAGAGGGCCCTGCTATTCCTCAAGCCACATCATTACCACCTCTGAAAGTAATAGGTCGTGACAAGGATCGCGATCGTATAATAAACTTTCTTACCGAGCCGGTTGGTGCTGCCACCGACGCTATATATTCAGGTATGGCTATTGTTGGAGCAGGAGGCATGGGAAAATCCACCTTGGCACAGCATGTTTACAATGACAAGAGGGTACAAGAACATTTTGATGTCCGGATGTGGGTGTGCATCTCACGCAGACTTGATGTCCATCGTCATACACGGGAGATCATCGAGTCCGCGGCCAGGAGGGAGTGTCCGCGTGTTGATAATCTGGATACCCTCCAGTGCCAACTAAGGGACATGCTGCAGAAATCAGAGAAAGTCTTGCTTGTGTTGGATGATGTTTGGTTTGATGATTCGAGCAGTCAGATGGAATGGGACCAACTTTTAGCTCCTCTGGTTTCACAGCTCAAGGGAAGCAAAGTTTTGGTAACTTCTCGACGGGATACATTTCCCTGTGCTCTTCGCTGTGAAAAGGTGCTCCGGTTGGATACCATGGAAGATACCCAGTTCCTCGCACTCTTCAAATACTATGCCTTCGCTGGGGAAGAAACCAGAGACCTTTCATTGCTTGAAAGGCTAGAAGAGATTGCAGAGAAGATAGCTAAAAGGCTTGGACAGTCTCCCTTGGCTGCAAAAGTTGTTGGTTCGCAGTTGAAAGGGAAAATGGATATATCTGCCTCGAAAAATGCTCTAACTTTAAAGATTGAAAACTTAAGCAAGCCCAGGACAGCCCTGTTGTGGAGTTATCAGAAGTTAGATCCACGTCTTCAGAGGTGTTCTGCATATTGCAGCTTGTTTCCAAAAGGGCACAAATATGACACTGATGAGTTGGTTCACCTGCTTGTAGTGGAGGGACTTGTTGATTCAAGCAACCAGAATAGGAGAATGCTAGATATTGGAAAGGATTACATCAATGAGATGGTCTCTGGATCTTTCTTGCAACCAATTTCATATTTATTTGGCCGCACGTACGTCATCATGCATGATCTTCTTCATGATTTGGCTGAGTCGCTCTCTAAACAAGACTGCTTTAGATTAGAGGATGATAAGGTGACAGAAATACCATGCACCGTCCGACATCTATCTGTCTGTGTTGAGAGTATAAAACGACATAAGCACAATATCTGCAAGCTACATAATTTACGCACTGTTATCTGCATCGAACCACTTACAGATGACATAAGTGGTATTTTCGATCAGGTTCTGCAATATTTGAAGAAGTTACGTGTGCTCCATTTGTGCTTTTACAATAGTAGCAAGCTACCTGAATCTGTAGGTGTGTTGAAGCACCTTCGGTATTTGAACCTCGTCAAAACTTCTATTGCCGAGTTGCCTGGATCATTATGTGCTCTTTATCACCTACAGGTACTTCAGTTAAACGATAAAGTTAAGAGCTTGCCTGACAAACTCTGCAATTTAAGCAAGCTACGGCATCTTGAAGGGTATCGCGATCTGACATACCAGTTGTATCAAGTAGCTCTGCCTCAAATCCGTTATATAGGCAAGCTAACTTTGCTCCAACATCTTGAAGAATTTTGTGTGCAAAAGCAGAAGGGGTCTGAGTTGCAACAGATCAGAGACATGAAAGAGCTTGGTGGCAGTTTAAATGTCAGAAATCTGGAGAATGTCAGTGGAAAGAATGAAGCCATAGACTCTACGCTATATCTGAAAAGTCACCTTGGAACCCTCAGCCTTGTCTGGAGTTGCAATGATGGCACGAGAGTAGAGGATAGTTTACAGTTGGAGATTATAGAAGGTTTGAAGCCGCCGCCTCAACTTCATTGCCTCAAAATTGAAGGTTACAAATGTGCCACATATCCAAGTTGGTTACTTGAGGGTTTGTATTTTGAAAATTTGCAATCTTTTACGCTTGTTAACTGCAGTGCGTTAGAAGGCCTGCCACTCAATACTAAGCTCTTCAGGCATTGCACTGAACTGCAGCTCCAGAATGTGTCAACTCTGAAAACATTATCTTGTCTTCCAGCTGCACTTGCCCGCTTAATGATTGGCAGTTGTCCATTGCTTACGTTTATTACTGATGGTGAGCTAGAACAGCATGATGAGAGAGAGAACATCATGAGGACAGACTACTTGGCATCACAACTTGCCTTCATATGGGAGGTGGATTCCGGATCAGAAATTAAGAAAGTATTATCATCAGAACATTCATCTCTGAAGCAGTTGATGGATGCTGACAAGTCACATCTTCAAACCATTGCAAGTGCTATAGAAAGAGAAAACAATGAACTAATGCTGAAAGAGGATATCATCAAGGCATGGATATGTTGCCACGAGAAGAGGATTGGATTTATTTACGGAAGAAGCATCGGGATGTCGTTGGTTCCACCGTCGGGGCTTTGTCGACTTCACCTTTCTTCGTTCAACATTACTGATGGGGCATTAGCTGTTTGCCTTGATGGTCTCACTTCACTGACAAGGTTGGCCTTAGAGGAGATCATGACTTTAACTACACTTCCGTCGCAAGAGGTACTCCAACATTTGACAAAGCTTGACCACATGTTCATCAAATCTTGCTGGTGTTTGAAGTCACTAGCAGGCTTAAGAGCTGCTACCTCTCTTTTGGAGGTTAGGTTGATTACCTGCCCTTTGTTAGACTTGGCACGTGGAGCAGATTTATTGCCATTATCTCTGAAGGAGCTCGTTATATCCCGTTGCGTTGTCGCAGCCAATTCCATCAGTGGTGACTTGCCGCAGCTGGTAGACCTTTCCATGTTTCGGTGTAGAAGCTCTGCATCCTTGTCGATTGGCCATCTGACCTCCCTTGAATCATTATCACTAGGAGGTTTCCCGGATCTGTGCTTTCTTGAAGGCTTGTCTTCCCTGCAAGTTCATCATGTGCATTTGACAAATGTTCCGAAGCTAACTGCGGAGTGCATCGCACAGTTTCGGGCACAGAAATCACTCTATGTTAGCAGCCCTGCGATGCTCAACCACATGCTCTCAGCTGAAGGCTTTACAGTTCCATCATTTCTTTGTCTTGAAGAATGCAAGGATCCATCCGTTTCATTTGAGGAATCTGCAAATTTCACTTCAGTCAAGTGCCTGAGATTACGCGATTGTGAAATGAGTTCCCTGCCATGAAATCTCAAGTGCTTCTCCAGCCTGACGACACTTCAAATCCATATGTGCCCCAATATATCATCGTTGCCAGATCTGCCATCTTCCCTCCAGAGGATAGTCGTGTGGAATTCCGAACTCCTCAAGAAGAGCTGCCGAGTCCCGGATGGAGAAAGCTGGCCAAAGATTGAGCATATTCGCTGGAAAGAATTCAGAGAATTTTGATCCAGCTTCACAGCTACAATGAAAATGGGAAGGTAAAGATCCCACAGGTGCACTCTCCAAGATAATCTCTTGTACTATTTATTTCAAAGATTGTTACTGTTTTAAATGCTTCATTTAAACAGCTGGCTCGAGACCTGCCCTCTCCAGCAACCTCGGTCGCTTGTGATCAAGCTGAGTACCTCAAACTCGTCTTACCCCAGTTCAACTCTCTCCCATCTGTCACCAGACGCTCCATCAACTTCACCGAGACATGTCGAACTTTGTGTCCTGATGTACTGTCTGTAGTTTTGTTTCATTATCCTCTCGTTTAGTGTTACTTTTGATTGGTACTGGTTGTACCTGCTATATGAGTGTTGTTCCTGTGATTTCTGAAGGTCAAGATCCATATAAATATTGTTGTGTTTCTTTTGGATAAAATAAAACTAACTGGGGGGGCTGTTTTGGATAAAAATGGCTTAATTTCAAAAAGGAAATCTGACTAGCAATGCTCTTCCTCTGGTTTATCTGTACCAATGTTCTGTGCTGGGTGCATCATTCATACTGTCAACTAATGTCCGCCCCAGCCCAGGGCACACTTGCATCTAGCACAGCCCACTTGCATCTAGCACAGCCCCCGCGTTGCCCACCTCCCAGGGCGACTCGGGCGGCGGCGAGATCTTCTCCAGCCAAGTCCCTCTCGCACCTTCTCTTCCCCTCACCGCCGCCCTATGGACTTGGCCGGGCTAAGCCCGTGCAGATCCGGCGGCGGCGGGGCCCCTGGCGCCCTGGTTTGGTTCGTCCTCGGACGGGAGGCTCGAGCGACGGGTGGACGGCACGGCGCTCCTCCGCCCGCGTTGCTAGGACCGGTGGTGGTGGGAGGACGGCGGTGGTCGCGGCTGTGCGATGTCTGTTTGGTATTAGGCTCGGACTATCGGCATCCTTCATCAGGTGTATAGGAGTAGCGACAGGTGTTGCTAAGGGTGTTCCGTCTTGCCATCTAGTATCTCTAAAAAAAAAGGGCAACCTGGTGCATGTAGCTCCCGCTTGCGCAGGGTCCAGGGAAGGATCCGACCACTTTGGGTCTATAGTACGCAGACTTTCCCTACATTTCTGTAAGAGGCTGTTTCCAGGACTTGAACCCATGACCTCATGGTCACAAGGCAGCAGCTTTACCACTGCGCCAAGGCTCCCCTTCCCATCTAGTATCTCTATATACCGTTTTTGACATCTTTTAATTGGCACACAGGAATGGTCAAACCAGTTCTGAACATCCAAATTCAACCATAAAGATGCATGATAAGCAGCAGGCAACAGAAAAAAGTTTGAAAACTGCTATTGTGCTGCATATCTATATCTCTTTATGGATCATCAAGTTGCATCTGCCACTTGTTTAGGAGACTGCATTTGTTTCAGTCAATTTGTTGCATAGGTTGCTCTTTGCACAGATCTAAAAGGGCACTGAATGTCCAATAAGTCCGAACTGCAAAATATTTGCGGCTACTAAGAGAGACGACATATAATTTTGAATGACAATTAGAAATTCACAACATTCAACTGCATATATGTGACGGGGCAAGGAGCTAATTTTTAAGGAGTAGCATCTCTCAAAAGCTAAAGTGAGAGGGCTGGCCTGCTGCATTATCTACTTGTCGTTCAGTTCAGGAAGTTCCATGGTGAGCTTCGGCGACAATTTGTGGTGATTTAAAGGCCCAACGCCACCATCTTCATGCAACCCAGTAACAAAACAGTCTCGTTTCCAACATTAGACAGTCCACCAAAATAATCATCCAGAGAGTAGCACTGTGACGGTGGGTAACATAATTTTTTTTAAAAGTGATTGTATAAGACTGCAAGCATGTATAACAACAACCAAATCACTGAAAAAGCTAAGGATGTATATGTAAAATCACGCATCTAGTCATACCTGAAAAATGTATAATCTGTTGTTGCAAAAACGTAACTGTCTGCACCTCACATACTTGTACTAACAAATCTCTAACGAAGGCTCACGCAAAGATAGATTTGAACGAGTACATACCCGTCTAGTCGTAGATTTGAAGATAGATCTGAACACAGCCGAACACAAAGGCTTGTATTACTAACAGATGAACTGTAAATGACTAACAGATGAACTGTAAAATTAAGATTTAAGTAATACATACCAGTTGACAGGCTTATATTAAGCTGTAAACAACTGTAAGCAAACATATATAACAGCGTCCAAATTGTTGAGAGAACTATTGAGAAGAAGCAGAACGTAGCAGAGGCACAAAAGCTTGCTTCATAAAAGAGCACGGCGACTACATACAGGTGGATAAAAGAGCAAAGGAGAAATGCATTACCGGTACAGCTATAGAATGACGAGTTGCCAAAGAGCATGACAACTACAGAATGACGACTAGGAATGGCCGCCCAATAATATAAAACCATCAACATGGATGACTGATTATTACAGAAAATGCAGTACAGTAGCAGTCTTAACCAATTCTACAATTTTGTATCATTATCCATAGTACATTATTATCCGACGGAGAGAATAGTGTATCACACAAAGAGAGATGAATCGAGCCAAACACTATTAAACTTCAGAACCGGCTGGCCGGACAACGAGCAGAAGCAACTCCCCTGTTTTTGGCTTGTTAATTCAAAGTATCAGGGATATTATCTCTCAAAGAGTAAACTAGGGTGGTTGGGATGTGTGCTGGCTCCTCTCTCCATGGCAGTCTTCACGGCTTCAACAATGCCATCATCACCCTCAACATCAATACATTTGACACTAGTGAGGCAAGGGAGGTTCTCAATTCCAAAGCCGAGGCAGTTAGCTTCAACCATGCAAAACTGATTAAGCTCGAGTTTTTCAAGCTTTGTCATGGACCCTGTACCAAACATCAGATCTAATGCTTCATAACGTGCATCATAAATAAAAATATTCAAGAATCGGAATCCTATTTCTTCACTGATTCTGAGCTTCTCGTTTGTCTCTGTTTCTTCATTCAGATGCAGAACGAGCAGACTGGGTAAGGCCCCAAGGATAGAGAGATCGTCCTGCTTGACTACCTCCACTTCAATGTGTAGTTGTTAGAGGTTTCGGAGGGAGCTCACCCATGTAGGAACCTGTGGGAAGTCCCAAAAATAGATAGAAAGGTCCTCGAGGGTAGGCAGGCACAAAGATTCCTCATGTAAGAGGCTCCGCCCAAACTCAATAGTCAGGGAGCGGAGATTTTGGGTGCCTAGCTTACACAAGGAGGAGACAACAGCTTTGTTGTGCTCCTCCCCGACCATATTTGTATCCTCAGTGTCAGAATCAAATTCAAAATCAAGGATAAGCCGCAAACTCCTCAAATTCATTAGTTGACCAAGGCCGCACAAGAAGTCTATTGACTGAATGGAGGCATCAACATCTTTCAATGTCTCCAATGCTTGCATCTTTGCAATCCCATCAGGAAATTTAACCGCCCAATGTTCGATGCTGCGTGATCAGGCACCGTTTATCATGATGTATGGAGTATTCTGTGCTGAGTTAACTTTTTTTGAATCTCCAAATGAGCGTGAGGCTGCTGACGAGTCCACGAGTACGACCACGGGGATAGTCAAGGTTACCAGAGGAGAGGTGGCTGAGACACAGATCGTGCAGAGACTACATGAGTTGGCTCCTGGGGAGTTCGAGTGGGACCTTGTCAGTATGGCTGATAGGATGTTCAGGGTTGAATTTCCATCCGTTGAGGATTTGCAGAGGCTGTTGAGCTTTGGGATGTGTAAGGTGCCGGGAACGGATGGTATCCTAGAGTTTCAGGAGTGGAAGCTTGTGGAGCCACAGGGCATGCCGCTTACTCAGACGTGGTTGCATTTCTCCGGGGCCCCTTCGAGGCCGCTGCAGGATGCTCGGGTGGTGGCCAGTATGGGCATTTTGGTAGGGAAGCCTGAGCGTGTGGACATGGAGTTTACCAGAGCTCACGGGATTGCTAGGGTATTGGTTAGTATTTTGAACATTGAGTATGTTCCGGATGTGGTTAAGTGGGCTTATCGAGGCAGAGTATATGACTTGGATATTGAGTTTGAGGATGAGAGCCTTCTGGTGGCGCCGCCTCGGGATTCTAATACAGATATGCAGGAGGGTGATGGCGGAGCAGGGGTTCGGGAGGCGCCGGTCGAGGATCCTGGACGACAATTGTCCAAGGGGCCAGGGTCCCAGCCAGCGTCAACCGGGGATGGAGCAGTCTCACCTTCCGTGGTACCTTTGACGACTCTAAGATTTGGGTCTTTTGAGCCCCACTCTGCACCACCGAGACTCTGGAGTGATCGAGTTGAGTCCGAGGAGGCGTTTGAGCTCGAGTTACCGGCTTTGGGTTTGGAGGATGATGTGGCTATGATTACAGGGGATCAGCCGGTCGCCACTCCTCTTCCTGCGCAGCAGGGGCCACCTTATTCGGAGGTGTCGTAGCTTGTTGGTCCTGTTTTATCGGGGAGTGATCCGGGGCAGGCGGCCTCGGATTGTTCTCCTTCTACTGAGGATGGAGACTTGGGGCAGGTGGCTTCTGAGTTTCTCTCCTTGTCGGGAGGGAGTCTGGGGCAGGTGGAGTCGGATATCTCTTCCCCCGTCGCGTCTACCGGTCGGTTGATGCCGGCTTTGCCTTCGGGAGGCGGCTCGAGGCAGGTGGCCTCGGAGCCTCCTTCCTCTCCGGTGTCGGCGCGGGTAGCTTCACCGGTGTTGGGTGGGGAGCGAGGGCAGGCGGCCCTTGGTCGGGCTACACCCACCCAGCCCCGAGTATCGCCAGATGGGCCGCGCCACACCTCGACTGGGGGTGCTCTGCCTACTTCGG